CGGCAATGGAAGACATAAATTGTTTGACTGTAAAGAACATGAAAATATGTGTTCTACCAAGATTTTTTCTTATCGGTAATAACAATGATACTAATCTAATACCACCAGGCATTTAGAATTTTAAAGGCTGGATTCGTATTTTGAATTTGGCACTCCAAAGTACATATTTAAAAACCCCTTTAGCCAAGTTTTTAGCTCTCTAGGTGGCACCAGGTGTCCCCTATCGCAAAAAATGTGATTTTTCGAAAAAAAAAATTGTCCTGGACGGTCTTTTGCTTTAAAAAATCTCAAAATATTCGTGGACATACAATTTAATACTCAAAAACACTTAAGTTTTTTCGAATTTTGAGGATGTAGCGGAGAGAAAATAGCAAATCTAACCCCGCTTATGAAAATAACGGAAAAAATTACACGAAAAATGATTATTTAGAAGTTGGCCAAAAATTACCCACATAACCTAAATTTTTTTTGAAAAAATTAAATGATTTTCTTGAGCTCAATTTTGATCTAACTAATCTGAAAAAATTAACGAGTGTTTTTGGACATTAAAATGTATGTTACATCAAATTCTTCAGATTTTTTTAACCAAAGAATCGCACAGGAAATTTTGTTCTTCGAAAAAAAAAAAACACATTTTTTGAGGTAGTGAACATTTGGGACAACCTAATGAGCTAAAATTTTGACTTAAGTATTTTCTAAATATATAAAGGCCATTATGGCCTTTGTGAAGGTATTTTGTACGGTTGTTCAATAGTTTTTCCTTCTTAATTATATATCACACAAAAAACAATATTTTTCTAAAATTTTAGTTTGAAAAATGAAGCTTGTTTAATTAAATATTTATTTATATTCATTTATTATATATATATATATATATATATATATATATATATATATATGTATATATATATATATATATATATATATATATATATATATATATATATATATATATATATAGGTATATTTATATCACCTGATACACAGGTATATTTATATCACCTGATTTAACAAAAAGTCAGCAGGAAGATCTTAAGATCTTAAAAAAACACTTAAAAATTGTAAGAGAAGAACAACCAGAAAAAAACAGCTATATACGGGGCAACAAACTGTTTATAGACCATCAAAGTTATACGCCCAAAGAACTTGAAGAAAACCCAACTTTTTCGGAAGAAGACGATAAAATAAACCGAAAAATACCCAAGACTAACGAAACGAAGCCAACGTCAAAAAAACATCCATCTGTGTCTGCTGTTACTGGAAAATCAACCAAGCCACAAAAGTCATCCACTACATCAAATCCTTCGTCTGAAGAAAAGAAAAAAAGGAAAACCAGGTCAAACGAACAACATTAATTAAGTGTAATGTTAATCGTGCGGTAAAAATTTGTGTGTGCTAGTTAAAAAAAAAATGGATATCTATGTTAGAGACTACGAAGAAGAAAAAGTGGACACAAAATGTGTAAGTAGTGATAGTTTTAATAAGGATTACTCAATGACAATAAAAAATGACTTAAAAATAATTCATTGTAATATTAGCAGTATAGGTAAGAATTTTGATAATTTTTGTTTATTTTTATCAACTCTAAATGTCAACTTTGATATTTTAGTTCTCACGGAGACACACATTCAAGATGATATTGATAAAACCCCATTTTTGTTAAAAAATTACGATTTATTATACAATTATGGCGATTTAAACAAAAATGATGGAGTTATTATTTACATTAAATCTTCTATAAAATATGAATATTCAGTTGTACCATTGGGGAACATCAAGTTACTTGAAGTCATTTTAAATTATAATAAAACAAAAATCTGTTTGAGCGCTATCTATAAATCACCGATAGTAAACATAAACAATTTTAATCAGGATTTGCATCAATACCTCATAAGTAAAAAACGAATGTGTTTTCATATATTAGTTGGTGATATCAATATTAATTTGTTTGAGGATCTAGATCACACTGAAGAATACCAGAATATTCTAGCTTCACAAAATTTTTTGTCTTATATAAATAAAACAACTAGACCTAGAAGTCAAACTTGTATAGACCATTTCCTTATAAAAAGACCTGCTAATTACACTAATATAACTTCATTTATATTTGAAAATAATACTACTTCAGATCATTATCCAATCGCAGTTTCCATTCCTAATCTAACCAAAACCAAAGAAAACAAAATAATAATAAAGAAGTACATCAACTACAAAAATCTAAAAAACAATTTGAAGCAGGAAAAGTGGTTGGATATTTACAATAAAACAAATAAAAATGAAGCGGTAAAACTTTTCATTGACAAAATTTTAAACTTAATAAACAAAAACACAATTATTTTAAAAGGAAATGATCTAAAAACCACTTTTAAAAAAGATTGGATGACAGGGGGACTTTTAAAGTCTGTACAGGAAAAACACAGATTGTATGATCAGCTAATCCAAGATCCCTCAGATAACTTAAAAAAACAACGTTATACAGAATATAAAAATAAATTAAGACACTTAGTTAAAACTGCAAAAAGAAATTATACAAAACAACGAATTGAAAAAAATAAGACCTCTTCTTCATCACTTTGGAATGTAATTAATTCATTGTGTGGAAAAATAAAAGGAAATACAAAAATTGAATCGATTAAAACCAAAACAGGAGAAAAAATAATTGACAGAAAAGAAATTGCAAATGAATTTAATACACATTACAGTACATTGGGACAAAGGTATGCACAAAAAATACCCATTTGTAATGAACAGATTGAGGACATAGATAGGATAGAAAGCAGCATGTACTTGTATCTCGTTGACCAAAAAGAAGTGGTAAATGCAATACAATCTTTAAAACACAAAAAATCTCCTGGCTGGGATGGGATCAAGACAGAAACCATCAAACAAATTAAGGAAGAAATTATTACTCCTTTAACTTTTCTCATTAATGCATGTTTTCAGGATGGTTGTTTTCCAGAATGTCTAAAAATAGGCAAAATCAAACCTCTGTTTAAAAAAGGAAATAAAGAAGACGTGATTAATTACAGACCAGTATCTTTGTTGTCTGTTTTTTCCAAAATATTTGAAAAAATTTTAAAAAATAGATTAGTGAGTTTTTTGGATAGGTTTAGTGTAATATCGGATTGTCAATACGGTTTTAGAGAAAGAAAATCTACACAAGATGCTATTTGTAAACTAACATCACAAATATCAGAAGCTTTTGAGTCTAATAAACGTAGTTTATGCATATTTGTCGATCTCTCTAAGGCGTTTGACACGATATCTCACGGGATCTTGTTAGAGAAACTTGAGAAGTATGGTCTGAGAGGACGCGTTTTGACATTACTAAAAAGTTACTTAACAGACAGAAAACAATTTGTAGAAATTGATGGTGTCGAAAGTGATCCTGAAGTAATTAATTATGGCGTACCGCAAGGGACCGTTTTAGGCCCTCTACTCTTTACACTCTATGTTAATGACATGCTTAAACTAAAAACTGATGGAAACATAATAAGCTTTGCTGATGACACCGCAATTTTTTATAAGGCCGAAAATTGGGAAGATCTTAAGACTATAGTTGAACAAGACTTCAAAGTTATAAAAACATGGTTGCAAATAAATAAACTCACAATAAATTACGAAAAAACTAAATATATACCTTTTGCAATATATAAAAATTCTCTGCCAACTTTTAACTCATTAAAAATAAATAAAAAACAACAAATATTTAAAGCAGAATACATAAAATATTTAGGAGTTTTAATTGACAGGCACCTTAAATGGGACTTACAAATAAAAAATATTATAAGAAAAATAAGAGGACTGTTACCAAAATTCCGCTATTTAAAAGAGTTTTTAGATGTTGAACAGCTTAAAATGCTTTACCTGTCTTTAGTACAATCTCATCTTGTATATGGGATTTTAGGATGGGGTGGCGTAGCTGATTGCCATCTGGTGACCCTTCAAAATACTCAGAAATGGTTTCTTAAACTAATATATGGAAAACGAAAAACATATCCCTCAGACCAACTTTTTCATGAAACTCAGGTTCTTGATGTTCGGCAATTGTACTGCCTAGAGCTACTTAAAAATATTCATAAAGATAAAATACCTCTTAAAGTAAAAGTGTCAAATTATGAAACAAGAAGAAAATTGAATGTTGAATGTCTTCATACTTCAAAAACAATCACGCAACGGTCAATTAAATATTTTGCTCCAAGAATATACAATCAATTGCCCATAAATTTTAAAAATATCAAAAATTTTTATTTGTATAAAAAATTAGTTAATGCTTGGGTAAAAGAAAAAAGGGAGTTGTGTAACAATTTAATAAATTTAAATTATACTAGATAAAAAAAAAACGAAACAAATTAGATTAGATTAGAAACTGTAAAAATGAAATAATAATTTGTAAAAAAAAAACATTAAACTTGTTAATATTAGACAGCTTAAGTCAACAAGCATGTTAATGCTTTAAAGACTTTTTTTTACGTTTATGTTACTGTAAGTAAACTGAAATTGAAATTGTAAATTAATGTAATACTTATGGATTTGAATAAACGTATATTATATTATTATATATATATATATATATATATATATATATATATATATATATATATATATGCATATATATGTATATAATATGTAAATGTGTGTGTGTCACTTTAGATAAATAATGAATAGTTGATTAATTTTTACAGTTGAATAACCTTACCTAATTTGCTGAATTTTTTAATCAAATAATTCAGAAAACAGTTAGGTCATAAATACGTTTTGTTCCACTTTTCATCACTTTGGACAAGAATATCGTAGTGACTTCACATCCGCCACCCTTTGACTAAATTTTTCCACCTAAGGTTCAAACACTTCTCGGTAAAGTAACATAAAATTGAAAGAAATTGTAGCAAAAAATTGAGATATACCGTGTATGTACAAATCTCATATTGATGCAGGCATAACAAAAATAAGATGGATAAATACCCTTTCCGGGTTCCCTTTTATCTATCAGCTCTTACTTTGTCCTGTACACGATATTCCTTCGGGGCGGTAACATAAAAAATCCTTGTCGGTCAAGCACTTTTCACAACCACCTCGGAACCACCCTCTCGCAAGGGATCGTCTGAACTTTGAGCAAATAATTCGCAATTATCGGCACAAGTACTTTATCATGTGAATCTGATTTAAGCCCGGCACCGACTACACCGACGAAATTCAGTGGCAACGTGCTCGACCGTCTCTCTTACAAGAAGTGGGGACCTTCTCCGGCGAGCTGGTGTTCTAGAGCACGGCGTGTCCAGCGAACGTGCATTGGGTTACCGTGCATTTTATTGTTGTCTGTTGACGAGGTAAGGTTTTATCTCCAGTCGAAGAGATCGATGTTTAAATTATGGAAATGAGGGAAAATCGATCATTTTTATGTCAAATTGGTATATTGGTTATTTCATATCGTACTTTGTGTTATTAATAATTATTATTTGGTAAAGATACACAATTTATTACTACTTATGATTAATTACTTATTGTTTCTTTTTATCTTTTTAAATGCCATTGTGTTGTTTTTTCGTATATAATATATATAATATCATAAGAAAAAAATTTTGTAGGCAATATTTTCGACTGTTACCAAAGTTTATTGCTTGGGAATTTTCTTGTATTAAATTTTGACAGTTAAATCACGAGACGTCAGTCGAGTGATTTTGTCAAAATTTCATAGGCGAAAATCGACAAAAGGCAACAAACTTGAATAAAACTAGAAGAAAATTTTGCCAGTAAATAATTTTCTTTCGAATGATATTCGACAAGACTATTTCACGAAACAATTAATGCACCATATCAACAAAGCATAGTCTTTATTTATTTGTTAACAATATTAAATTTAGAATTATTATAAGCTATAGTGGTTTGCCCATTCTTTTCTACCAAAGCATGATTTTGTATATTATTGACCTGTAGTATTTGGGAACTCGGAAGGTCCAGCTTCATATGTTTTTTTTTTGCGTCTATTCCAATTTTTTCAGCTGACATTTTTGCCCACCTAGATATGGTGTTGATTCCAAGTGGACAGTTTTTGAACTAAGATCCATCTTCCAGTTGGGGTGAACGGTAAGAAACAGTCCGTCTGATAAAATCTTTGGTACCCCTTTTTCCATTAATTTCAAATATAATCTAATTGGGCATAAATTTTCGTTTGATGAATTTCTTACCAGCAATTTGCTGCTTGACAAACTTTTCAAACGGTCTTGATTTGTTTTGGAAAAAATGCTGTTGTATTCAATTCGTCCCATAAATTCTCCGATAACATCAAATAGTTCTTTGGTGGATAATGGTTTTGAACTGAGTTTTCTTTTTTCTTGAACACTTTGAAGCTGCCTCCGCTTGGTATCTCTGGCAAGTCTTTCACATTTGAAAGATATATCTGTGAGAGGGTGAATGACACATGATTGTGAATATAAATTGAAGATAACTTCGTTGAAAATTCTTCTTTGTCAACCATTTTCCATCCACTCCTGAATGTAGGTCTCTCCCAATTGCTTCCATCTTTCTCTATCTTGCGCCAATCTAATCCACTGTTTGCCTGCCACTGCTCTTATGTCATCTACCCATCTTTTTTGAGGTCTTCCCATGCTTCTTGTTGTCGTCCTTGGTCTCCATTCTAGAATTCTCCGTGTCCACCTGTTGTCATTAAATCGGGCTACGTGACCTGCCCAGCGTCATTTCATTTTTGTAATTTCTTCCACAATATCCCTATTCTTCGTCTTATCTCGGTGTTTTTAATCTTGTCTCTTAGTGATATTCCAAGCATGATTCGTTCCATTGCTCTTTGCGTTGTTTCTAATTTTTTGGCAGATTTTTTGGTAAGTGCTACTGTCTCCAAGCCGTAGGTATAAACTGGTAGTATGCATGTGTTATACACTTTTTTCTTTAAGTTTATAGGAATGGAGGCGATTTTCAAGATATGTGCTAGTTTGCCGGAAGCGCCCCAAGCCAGTTGTGTTCTTCTTTTAATTTCAGCATATTGATTTGGTTTTCCTAGTTTGATAACATGACCTAGATATACATAATGTTCCACATTTTCTATGGTATGATTTTGTATTGTTACATTTGTCTGGTCTCGGCTTAGTATTTTTGTTTTGCTGTAGTTCATTTTTAAGCCTACCGCTCCTGAAACTTCATTTAATTGTTGTAAGATATCATTTAGTTCTTGGATATTATCGGCTATTAAAACTATGTCATCTGCGAATCTCAAGTGGTTTAAGTATGATCCGTCCACGTTGATACCCTTATTGTTCCATTCCAGTTTCTTAAAAATATCTTCTAGAGCAAGGGTAAATAGTTTGGGAGAGATGGTGTCTCCTTGTCTTACTCCCCGTTGTAGTCTTATGGGATTAGTTTTTGTGCTTTCGTCCAGCTTTATATGCATGGTGGCATTTTCATATATGTTTTTAATTATGTTAATGTATCTTAAATCTATGCGTGCATTTTCTAGAGATTCAAGCACTGCCCATAATTCGATGGAATCGAATGCTTTATGGAAATCGACGAACGCCATATGAATTGGAACGTTATACTCGGTGCATTTTTCTATCAGTGTTCTTACGGTGTGCAAGTGGTCTATGGTATTAAAATATTTTCTGAATCCAGCCTGCTCGATAGGTTGATAGAAATCGAGCTTATGTGTTAGGCGGTTGGATATGATTTTAGTTAGTAATTTATACAGATGTGATAGCAAGGATATTGGTCGGTAATTCTCGATGTTTGCTCTGTTTCCTTTCTTGAATAGTAAAATGACCTTCGAGTTGTACCATTCTTGAGGAATCTTTCCTTCATCAATTACTTTATTAAATAAAACATTTAATACCTGTTCCATTTTTCTGCGTTGAAAATAGGCCCAACATATTAAGATATATAAATTTGGATGTTGCTATTGTTAACCATTTATAAAATGGTCTAGTGAATCATATGAATGTCCATTTGACATTTATTTACATCTTGCAGCATTGAAGTCATACATGGTAAGTAGCTAAATGCCAGGTATTGCATTTCAATACCTTATTAATCTATGTACAGCGACATCTAGCAAATTATATTCGCATATTTAACTTATTCAAACATTTTATGCATCATTACAATTTCTTAAGGAACATTTTCTTATTGTGCCGCTTCTATTGTTCATTGGAAATCTTCTAATCCATGACTTTGGTGTCGTATATCCCAAAGAAAAAAAAAGTCGTGACCCTGTTATCATCTTTCACTATGATGATTCGATTGATGGAGATTCTGGAGATGCCTGTAAGCCCAATTTTAATATAAAATCGGGCGTTGCCTCAGTCTATCAGAAATATGCGCCTATAACGTAGGCAGAATCATCCGAAGATGGCCAATGGTCATTTTTATAATTTACTCAACATTGCAGGTATAAACCTTCATGTCATACATAAATGTAATGCAAATGAAAACGACCTGATTTCGGAACGAAGATTGTTTCTGAAATCAATAGGCTTAGCCTTGAGAAGAATATGCTAACCAGAGCAAGAGACCCTGATTTACAAAAGGATATCAGAAATATCGCCAAAAATTAGGCGGAGTACATGCAGATCCAGCGCCTTTGCGTCCTAATACACGAGGTCGTCCAAATCGTAAAACACGATATTTTTGTGTCAAATGCCAAAAATGACTGCTTAGAGCATGTTTAAACCGATTTGCGAAGACTGCAATGAAAATTGAAATTAGGATTAGAATTTTGTTTATTAAATGTAAAAGAAGTACAGTTTTTTGCATATTTGAGAAGTCTTTTTTTTGCATTTTCTTAAAAATGTTGTTTATTTTATCATTGGGTTTAAAATGGTTAAGATATATTAAAAATTAAATAAAAAAAGATTGTATATATTTCAAATCATCATCATCATCAGTAGCTCGAGAACCCTTTATGGGTCCTGGCTTGTTCTAGGATTTTCCGCCATTCTGTTCTGTTCCTTGCTCTGTTTTTCCAATTGGTAATCTAAGTTTGGGTCTTCCCTTTGACCTTCTCCCTACTGGTGTTTGCCTCATTATATGTTTTGGTGTTTCAGTCTCCAACATCCGTTCAACATGGCCCATCCAGCGCAGACGTCCGATCTTTATGAATTCTATGACCTCGGGTCCATTGTATGCTGTGTATAGTTCAAAGTTATATCTTCTGTGCCATATGTCATTTCCCTTCACTCCCTTATATATGTGTATTAAGGATTTTTCGTTCAAACATACCTAATAGGTTCTCATCGCTTTTTGACAGTGTCCATGTCTCTGATCCATATAGAAGGACCGGTTTTATGAGTGTCTTGTATATTTTGCATTTGGTTTTTCTTGTGATGTTGTTAGACCTTAGATGTTTAATTAGTCCATTATATGTTTTATTAGCGGTATGTATTTATCTCTTAACTTCTTCACTGATATTGTTATCTGCGGTAACTAGTGAACCTAGATATGTAAAACTTTTCACGCGTTCGATGTTATAGTCTCCTATTGTCAGATTCTGTAGGTTTCTTTGGCCTGTCGATTTACTGGCCTTCATGTATTTGGTTTTTATTTTGGTAATGTTTAGGCCACTGTTTTGTACAGCTCTTTCTATCGCATTAAATGCGATATCTATTATCAGTCTTTCGCTTCTAGCTATGATATCAACATCATCTGCAAATGCCAATATTTGTTCACTTTTTGTTATTATTGTTCCTCTGGTGTTGACTTTTGACTCTAATTATTTTCTCTAATATGTAATGTGATTGTATCTGTTAGTGCGTTTTGAATTCCAGTTATGTTTTGTACTTTAAGTATTTCTTTTACTATATCAACAGTTAAGTTGGAATATTAAACTGTTTCAGTGTCTGAATTCAGAAATTCTCGATGGATGCTATTATAGGGACTCTCAAAATCACTCAAAATGAAAAGATTATGTGTGTCTATATTAATTCACTAGTCTTTTTTAAGATTTACCTCAACACGAAGATCTGATCTCTTGTGGACTTCTACCTTCGGAAACTACATTGTTATCCCCCAACTATTGGTTCCGCATATGGTCTCAATCGGCCATACACTATTTTTGCCAGTATTTTATATGCTGCAGTTAGTAGCGTTATTGCCCGGTAGTTTTTACATTGAAGCTGATCTCCCTTTTTATGTAGTGGGATAATTACTCCGGTATTCCAGTCTTGTGGCAGTTGTTTATTATTCCATATGTTCACTATTAGTTCGTGTATCGCA